AATTAAACCTTTATAATAACTTTATTTTAATATATCATTGTAAAAATTAAAAAATTTTTTTATATTCAATTCAATTCGATTCGATCAAATATTTGATTTGATTTGATTTGACAAATATTTGATTTAATTTGATTCGATTCAATTTTGAAGAACCCTACAGATAATCTTATTGATACTTTACATAAAGGAATGTCATGTGAATTGATCATGTACTATGCCTCTAACCCTAAAATTTGTAATATAATATCAGAAGCATGAAGCCCAAAGGAAATTCTCTTTTTTTTAAATGCTTTTTTCTCATATGTATTAAAAAAAAAGCTATCTAATTAAACTAACTGGATAAACTATCAGATTAATCAATTAAGTAAGCTATCTTCTATAATGTCAAAAATACAAGCAATGTTTCGCAAATAAAAAAATATATCACATAATCTTTATATATGCTTATTTAACTAGTAATAATAAATTTCTATATACTAATTTTTAATTGCTGAACTAATTTAATCTAATGTAGTGTAATTGGGATCAGCAAATTAATAAACATTAGGATTATCATATTTATTTTAAGGAGTTTTATATTTTGCAATAATTATAGTCTTAACTGTGAAAAAATTTTATTTATAAAAATACTGGATGAATCAAAGACGTTTGATAAGAGAATCAAATAAAAAAAAGATATTAATTTTGCAAATGCATAATTCAATCAATCTTCAAATATTCTAACAAATAAAAGAATAAGAACTCTACTTCAAATAAAACCAAAAATCTTTCACATATAATCAATCAAATCAAAAAATAAAGTTTTACATATATCTCGAAAACTTTATCAAATCTCATTCAAACCAATTTCTCAAACCAATTTCTTATCTATTTTCACAAAATGTTTTCAAACACTGATATGTTTTTGATTGTACTTTTTAGCATCATAATTATAATATGTGATGCTAACCTGAGATTTCCTAACAATAGAGATGCTCTAAGGCATTTTTTCAGAAAATGCCATAATATATATAATGTTTGTGAAATGATTATATTTTTACGTAAATATCTATTTCCAGCTTCAGCAAATTCACAAATCACCAAACTTGAAAAATGGTATTGACTATAAATAATGAATTATCTGATCACAAATGGATAGGAGTTTGGCGCAGTATATCAACTGGCAATGAAATCATATGCCGAATTCTTGGAGTTTTGATGCAGTATCATACACCTGGCAATAAAAAAATCAAAAAACTTTTATTATAACGCATTAAGCAAGACAGAATGGGATATTATGAACCATAGCAATAAGTATGAATCGGGTCAGAAAGCGCTTTGCTAATACTGCACTGCTTATTTTTTTTTTTTTACCACACAGCTACTAATCCCCGAATTTGTGCTATATTTCGAAATTACTCAATACCAAGGATCCGCGTACTCTCTCCCTCTTTGATAGCATCATACATTTCATTCGCTTCTCCAGCATTTTTTGATTCGCTATGTATCTGAAAAATCATTAATAAACTTCGTTCATTTGTATCAAATTTTTTTTTGTAAAACTGTTACGATCAGAATCATGTAACTTTTAATTCGCTGATTATCTGTGCGACATTCGATTTCTTTTTATAATCCGTTTCTGCTTTCTTGGGTTGTACAATCGGTCTTACTAATTTCCTAAAAAACAGATGTCTGCTGTCTATCAAGAGATCAAACGCCTCACTCAAGAGCTACTTAAAGAGAATTTTACTAAAATAATTGCTTACATTAGTAAGGATGTTAGTCTAACTAATCAAATGAAAGATGCCCTGGCTCTCTTTGATACTGATGAAGAGAAACGTAATTACCTGGTAACTTTTTTGGACTCTATTGGAGCTGGTATGTTTTCATACAAAGCGTAAGCTTCGTCGCCAATAATTTCGAATACTTACATAATCTTGTGCTTTTTTTTCCTGCTTCTTATCGTCAAACCCGACCAAATCACACGTTCGCGTTATCGTAGAGCAACCTTATGCTGGTAAGTGAGTCGTAATAATTTTGGTCAATGCAAGTGAACGCGGAACCTTTTTGCGTTGTGATATATTTATCAATTAACTTCGCTTTTTGTTGTCCGTTATTCTTTCTCATTTGTAAACGTTTACCTCTAAAAAAGAATTTTACAGTTGGTACTAATTTTGTAGTTTTTTTTTTCCTTATAATCAAACCCAAAAATTTATCATAGAACCCGATTTGAGTTTCGAGGAACTCATGAAACAGATATTAAAAGGCTCAATTGCTAGATCGGATAGCACAATTCAAGATTTCTCTAGTTGTATACCTCTAAAGGAACGAAATATGACTCCAGCAATAAAAATAATCTCAAAAAATTTCATACAATCAAAGTCTGCATCTAATGCTACAGTCGCAAAATCTGGCTGTGAATTTCTTGTCTGTTGCGGAGCTCCTGGTATCGGTGAGTCATTCTTATCCGTAAAGTGTTCTAAATTGAATACCTGTCATTCATTCAAATTAATACTAGTTGCGCCATAGGTAAAACTCGCTACGGAGTTGAATTGTTTAATCATTTGAAAAAAAATCCAGAAGAAATTTCAAGACATTCTCCCTTTGCTCCCGATTTTTTATCAATTTACCTTGATTTCGGACAAAATGTAGAGCTGGATGTACTTGATAACAATTTGTCTGTTGATTCTATACTCGCTATACGTATCGCTTTCGAATTCTTCGTTTCCAGATCGAATCAAATGGACTTTATAGAATTCCGCGCAAAGGTTTATCAGCACTTCAAACAAAGTAGTACGACAGGTCTGTTGGATCTGGGGAAATTTCATTCGATCATCAACCTAAGCAACGTAATTCGAAACATTCGTAAGTATCGTCGGTTACCGAATAATCAAACCCTATTTATTTTCCTTCATATCGACGAAATTCAAATAATATTCAATTATGAAAAATATTGGAGAAAAGAGGATGTAAATTTACAATCGGAAAGGAGTAATCATTCTTCATATCAAGAAACTAAAAAGGGAATTTTCAAGAAATTATTGTATGTATTGGGATCATATATGAAGTCAAACATCAACTTTATTCAAACATTTCTGTCTGGGACGGCATTACAAGATGTCGTTCAGCAGAAAGAACCGACAATGTATACTTTCGATTATATCAATTGTCCTCTTCTCTCAATGACTGCCTGTATCGAGATAGTGGATCATTTCGCAAAACAATATGGTGATACTGAGCTCCGATGGTGTCTTGATCGACCATTTATAAAAATCCTGGATGATGCCCGTGGTCTTCCACGTGCAATTGAGTATATTCTCAACGATGTTTTGGGTACGAGCCACGATAATGCAAAAAATTTTTTCGGGGATAGTATCAAAGGTCAATATCTTCAACAATCATCCGATTTCTTCATCAGGATTGCAGTCAGATTAGATAAGAGGTATGCTATTACGAGATAATTGTCAAATCGTTCAGTTCTTTCAGTACACTTACATGTAAGTCATTTTTTTTTTATTGCTCAGCTATGCCATAACTAACTTTGTTGAAAAAAATAAAAATCTTGCACTTGTATTGCTCAAAAATTGTATGAGAAATGATTCTGTTACAAGGTCTCAGAAAGTATTGATGAATGATGAAAATTGCTCATTCACTTATGGGGAACTAGAAAGAGATCAACATATCATCCTGGAAGAAAACAATAAACAACTTTCGATCACTATGCCAGTATATTTCATTTATCTTTACAATAAAGTACTCAAACTTGCTGATGGTATTCTTGCGAACATGTTAAAGCCAGATTCAGTCCATGGGATGGAATGGAAACATTGGGAATTATTTGTCACACATTTTGAAGCATTTAAAGTTAACCTTCTTGTAAAATCGGGAG